ATATATACCAAACCTTTGTATTTCACATGGATCCCAAAGCATGTTGATTGTTACCAGCTCAGTGCGCTTGTTGTTCTTTTCCTGACTCATCCACTTTGATGTGCTAGCCAGATCCCGTTTTGTGCAATTGGAAAGCTGGTGGCAAATTTTGACGACATTTCTCACTTGTTCTGACCAAATAGACTTAGGAAGAGGAAGTAAACAAGACAAAGGAACAGAGTAAAGGACAAAGGAGAGAGATGATTCCTAACAAGAAAACTATAAAGTAGAAACCTATCAGGTGTGGATACCAACTCGACAATGACATGCACCCGTGGATTAAGTGGCCTAATCTGCCAAACAAGTCTGATGTTCCACTCTTGCTGTACCTCTAAAACGTGAAACTGGGCTTCAATGCTCCGATTATCCAATCTGATTCATGATCCTTATTCGACGTGTGGTGCCCGAAGGGTTTTCACCATCAAGCCTCTCACATTTTGTTCTTTCTCTCAACTTATCGTCGCCTTATGGTGCATGTGAAGGTTTTCACCGATAAAACTCTCTCATTTTTTTTTCTTGTGCAGCACAGAGTGTTGCCCCTGATGTGAATCATACCTCTAACTCGCTTGACTTGGAACTACTCAAAGATTGATCGGAAGGTCTTTCTTTGGACCGTAATGCGGACTTTTGGATGGGGTTAGAAAGAAAGGATAAAGGCTCAAAAGCAGCTTAAAAGGGCTCAAAATTACAACTTTTGGAATCAGATCTCTTACAACAACCACAACTTCTGCCCCAGTTTCTTTGCTTGGGGACTTTTGAATTTTATTTTGATGTGACCGAACCGTGAGGCTGCCTACGTATCCTTAAAAGGAATCAGGTCAAACGTAGTTTATGTCATAGGAATTACTTTGTTTGTTGTGATTTTTCTTTTCTTTTTCTTTCTCTTCTTTTCTTTTTTTGTTTTTCTTTTTGTTGTTTTTTCCTCTCTTTTTCTTTTTTTTCTTTTTCTTTTCATTCTTTTCTTTCTCTCTTCATTCTTTTCTTTCTCTTTTCATTCTTTTCTTTCTCTCTTCATTCTTTTCTTTCTCTTTTCATTCTTTTCTTTCTCTTTTTCTCTTTGTCCTTTACTTGCGTTTCTGAACTTTACTACTGATTCCAAAAGAGGAGTATGAAAAAGAAATAAATAAGGCTCAAAAAGGGTAACAAAGGATAAAGTGTTTAGATAGCAGAACAAAATGCCTTAGTCATTCCAATCTTCAAAACATGCCAAGTACAAACAAATACAACTTAACCAAAGAAATCATACATAATATCTTTTGACCGCATCATAATTGATAGCCATTTCTACACATTTGCCTTCTACATCTGTTAAATACAAAGCACCATTGGACAACACTCTCACTCTCATTACCACGAACAGCCCCCTACAAATTTGGGGCGAACTTGTCTTTAGCTTCGACCCGATGCGGCAGGATGCATTTCAATAGGGTTTCTTTATGTTCTCTGCCCAGTTTCACACAATTCGGGCTTGAAGGATCTCAAAATGCCTTTGCTTATTTCCCCTCTCATGTCCCTACATCTTCAAAATTGCTTCATTGTTTCATGACTAAATTGACTTTTAAAACCATGCTGAGAATTACGCATGCATGTCATGTCACTAGAGTCAACAGGAAAAGAATTATAAAAGGAGGAGAGAACTAAACAAAAAATTGACAAGAAATAACAGAAGACAGGAAATTGCATTAGACAGACGGTGAAACGGTTCGAACAACAAGACAAGCAAACTACAACGGGGTTACAACCTTGGAACAAACCTAGACAACACTAAACGAGTTACTACGACTAAACGAACTACGCAAAATAAAAGGATAGAAGGGTTTGAGTAACAAGACAATATCCGGATTACAACCCTGAAAATAACCCGGATAACAGAAATGACAACAAAATAAACCACCAAGACTCATCCCCAGCTAACCAGGAGAGGAGCGTCTTTCCAGTTACCAAGTTCTGCATCTTAGCCACTGAGTTCAACATCAACATTGCTAGAACCTCCACAAGTCCTCATCTCTTTGTCCTTAGCAAATTGCTCTTGGGTCCCTTTAGCCGGCTCGTTCTTATGATCAACTTCCGGAACCAAGAGTGATAGCGCTGAAAGCTTCGCGGCAGGTGGCCCTCCGAGGATCTCAGAATAGTTCTTATATTCCTTTTCCACACAAATCATGTCCTCCATATGCGTCTTATTGTGAACAGGCAATGAACTTTGGCTAGTATCTGCTGCATTTGGATTTTGCACAGTAAGGTCGCCTGCATCAATAAGCTTCTGAATCGCATTCTTCAGCCGCCAACACTTTTTTGTACTGTGACCCGGGGCATCGGAGCAATATGCACACCTTTGAGAAAAATCAAACTTCTTTGGCAGAGGGTTTGACATTTATATCTGAACCGGCTTCAACATATCCAATTGCATCAACCTTTGGAACAAACTGGCATATGATTCTCCAATAGGGGTGGAAGCCTTTTCTTTTTTCAGTAGTATTTTCAATTTGTATTCTGGCCTCGGTTGGAACCTTTTGCGGGCAGGTGGCTGATATGCTTGAGGGGGCGGGTAAGACATTTGGTGAAGTGGTGCGGGCCATCGCGGGCCTTGGGGATGTGGAGCATATGGTGGTGCATTGTGGACGGGGTATCGGGGAAGTGATGTACGATTTTGGGGATTCTGTGGAGAGAAGTAGCAGTGGGGAGGATTACAAGGATATCCACGGGGTTGACATTGAGGCTGAAAGCATTTAGCAAGAATGACCACTGGACCCTGTCGTCGGCGGGGCTCAGCAACATCTTTTCTATCAATGGGAGGACTATCCCGAGCAACTTGTTCGTTCCATCTGAGCCAAAAATCCCTAAAACTTTTCTTGGGTTTCTTTTCCATCTGAGATAGGGAAAGAGGTCCGACAATGTCTATATTGTACTGGAAGTGTCGCACAAAATCTTGAGCCATGTCGCCCAATGTATGCCACTTGCAGACATCTTGACGATTATGCCATTCCAAAGCTGCCCCAGTCAAGCTCTCAGTGAAATATACCATCAACAAATCATCTTTCTCGCTAGCATTTCTCATTTCACTGCAATAATCCCTCAAATGGGCTACCGGATCTCCACACCCATCATACCAGTTAAACTTTGGCACTTTAAACCTATGGGCAGGCAAACGTCAGGGAACATACACAACTCTTTGTAAGACATATTAACCTGGTCTCCCATCCCTTGTATGTTCTTTAAGGACTGTTCTATGCTTTTCAGCTTCCTGGATATTTTGTCTCGCCCTTCTTTTCCCGTGACTTTTTCATGTTCAGCATAAAGCTCATCCCGAGGGCTCTTCTTGTATGAGTCAGGAACCTTGTGGGCAACCTCTGCGGGGTAGTATTGGGCATCATGAGCTTTGAGTGGATATTCACTGTTGGGAATAATGGATATGACAGGAGGGCAATTTTGGGGAGAGGTAATTGGAGGATGAGTGATGGAGCTACTAGGACGTTTGGGAAAGCTGTGATAAACGGGTGGATCTGGAGAGTATGGGGGATCATCTGGCACTGTGTCCGGAGTTTGGGTTAGGGCAGCATCTAGGAAGCTAGTGGTGGCGGGGGTGGTGCCTTCCTAGTCATCCAGGCCTGATACATGTCCGTCATGTGTTGTATTAACATCCTTACCTCATCAGCCAAACTGGTGTCCTGTTCAACCAATTGCTTTTGGGCACCCGTATCAACCAAATCAGTTCTGTTGCCGTCTGTCATTACCTTTCGACCTTATGTTGTAGAGAAGAGTTACCACTTTAAGAACCACAAACCAACCACCTTTCCGCTCAATGAAGACAACAAAAGGAACAAAATGGGGACATCCTGTTAGCATCAGGGCATTTAATCAACTAAAAATATCACATTGCGTGCAATGCACCTAGCAACAATTAACGGTTCTAGAATAACTTCTAGGGTCACAAGGTCACTTGGCATCATCCCAATTTTGTTCATTTCAATCTTCTCTTTCTTTTCTTTTCTAGCATTTGCTTGATTATTTTCCTTCCTCTTTTTCTAATTTCACTCTTCTCTTTCCTTCATTTCTCACATCCCACAATTTCAACTCTTTTTTTTCTCTTTTTTTTTTCCTTTTTCCTTTTTTTTTTCTTTTCTTTTAACAGTAAAAAAAATGATTCGATCGAACCCTATGTAGGTTGCCTACGTATCACGACGCCGCATGAATCAGATCTTTGCGTAGTTCTGAAAAATCAGGAATAAAGGAAATAAACTAACATTCTCCCTTTTTTTTACCTTAATGACTAATCCGATGAGAAAAGAGAAATAAAAGAAGCAAAACCTTTTTTTTTTTGAATTTTCTAGACTTAATGTTCTATAACCTATTCTGAACTCAAGCTTAACAAGCATATATTTTTTGCTTTTTTTATTTTATTTTTGAAACAAACACTCTATGAGAAATTATTAAGGAAAAACCCTAGAAGAGAAAAAAAAATTGATTTTTTTTTTAGGAAGAAGATCGAAACAATAAACCACAGAAAAATATTTTGAATTTTCATTTGATATCCTGATGCAGGATTTTGAAACAAGCAATGAAAAACATAAAACAACATGTTTTTGGATTTCAATTTGATTGTCAAAAGGAAGAAACTTTAAACAAAAGATAAAGTATGTTCTTTTTCCTTCTATGTACAATATCCTAAAGTTCTTGGGAAAATAAAAGAATATTTTCTTTTCATTTTTCATTAATTTCTCAAAGAAGAACCTCAAAAGAAAATCTTTTTTGATTTTTGAGATTAATGCCTTAAAGAAAACTTTTAAAAAGGTACTAAATATTTTTATTTTTTTTGAATTTGGTCATAATATAGTAAAGGGAATATACAAACAATTTTTATTTAAGTCCTAGATATTAATTGCCTAAAGGAAAAACCACCTCCAAGATACTTTTTTTTTTCATTCCTACAATTAGTATTCTAAAGAAAATTCCGAACGGAAATATAAAACGCAAAATTTGTTTTTTGGATTTTTGATTCATTACACACCCTTTCAAATGCAAAATAGAAAGTACAGTAATAATAATAAAACTCGACATTACTATACAAAACTAAAAGGTAAAAGATGACATAAAATAAAAAAAAAATAAAAAAACAGACTCAAAACATAAAAAGAAAAAAAAATCTTCTTTTAATCCACTCCTGAATGAGCTATCCTGACTAGATGTCCTGGGACTCTGTCATGCTCAAACTCCGATAAGTAAATCCACGCCTGTATGAGAAAATTAAAACCAAATAGGTTAAAGACCTAGAGCGCTATGTGAGATAATAACTCTTCCTGTTAGAAACATGCAAGACATGGTTTAGACTATTTTTGCAAAATGACTTATTTGGCCAAAAGATGGCTAGAAGTACAAAATTTGGCTAAGACGTCGCAAAGCCAAGAACCTAAGATTTACTAGGAAGACCGGACCCTATGTGGGTTGCCTACATATCACGCCCCGAAAGACGAGAATCAGGTATGCGTAGTTCGGGCAGATTGAATACGGGCGAGAATTAAAAAAAACAACTAATTTAGAGAAAACATATTTTTTGTCTTTTTTTTTAAAAAAAATGATGAACATGTAACTTTATTTTTTGGATTTTTTTTCTTTTTATTTTTTTTTTATTTTCTGATTTACGAAAAATAATGAAAAAGTGCAAAATCTCTTTTTTCTGAATTTTCAAGCTCTTTTTTTTAACAAGAATGTGACAGAAAATATAATTCGGCCCCACTCGCTTTATCTTCACACTTCAACCTCTTTTTCTTTTTCTTTTTCTTTTTCATTTGCCCTCAACTATCATTGGTCCGCCAAATGACCCTTTTACCCTTGAAGAAATGCAACATGTAGCACATAGGATGCATCAAGATGGTCTGTTATTTTGGGTACACCTGTCCTAGACGGACCCAACCCCTGTGTTGAGTCCCCAAAGTCAGATGCACATGATGCAAACAAGCGTTCCTACTAGGGATCTGGCATGAGGCTGGGTTATTCTAGATTCAAAACCTGGGTATGTGTTCTAGACTGTGTACCCGAGCCGAAGAGGGGGCTACGTATCGGGAACCAAAAGGTCATCCGGCTTAGTAACTTGTCCGAGCCTCTTTCTTATTTCAAGGTATGACACTAACAGAATAAGGAGTCTCGACCAGCGAGCACATCCCCGAAGATGAGAAGAGAAGAGTTTCGTAGCAGTTTATATACAGTTCAGATAATATCAAAGCGGTAAAAACATCATTTAACACATTAGACCCAAACATGTAATCAGATAACAGATAAAGCCAAATACAACAATTCATCAAAGCTCGAATTCTGAACCCTAAACCAGAGATTTTGGGTTCGATTCCCAGCAGAGTCGCCAGAGCTGTCACACCTCCTTTTTACCTACATCCCCGGAAGGGAGTATATAAGGGAGTTTTTTTCAACTTAAAGTGACAATCGAAACAGAATTATTTTTATTAAAATTCAGAGTCTCCATTTGGGATAATTTTATGGTGTCTCAAGTTACCGGTTCAAATCCCGAATCGAGGAAAAGATTGACTCTGTTTTACAGTCCGAGAACACAGAAATTCGGGTAAGGAATTCTGTTAACCCGGGAGAAAGTGTTAGGCATTCCCGAGTTCCGTGGTTCTAGCACGGTCGCTCAACTGTTACAATCAGCCTATTATCTGATTTTAGTACATGTTTTAGCCTATGGTTCGATTTTAACTTTATAGCCGCTTTTATTCATTTTTAGGAAGATTGAAACGTCATTTAAAATATGTCTTGAACCACCTCACATAAATGTACCCGTAGTTCGCAACACGCTTTATATAACATTGTTGAGATTTGGATTTGGGTCACATAAATGCGCACCCGAGTTTAGGAAGGTAATTTTAACTTACGCATCTAAAGCAACTACACGTTTTTAACTTTGCGAGGGCCATAGAAAATTTGCTAAATGGCACGCCTCGAATTCTAAGGATTTAAAAGAAACAATTAAATGAGGGCCACGCAACAAAATCAGGTAAGATAAACCAATTAAGATTCCAGCCACCACTTGAAATGTTAGCGTATAACCCAAATAAAAAAATAATTTAATTACCAATTAGTTACGGAATCCCTAAACTTAACATTAACAAATCATTCCAAAGTACATACTCATTCTTTTCCTTTATAGACCCAAACGCAGAAACGGCCAAGGCAGCACTAGAACTAGTAGGAATATTGGGTAATTTATCCAATTTTTGACTTTGGGTTATATACATAAAACCCTCTGCCTTTGCAACCAAGAAAGCAAATCAACAAAGAAACGGACATAACCATCCCAAATGAACTCAAAACGTTTGCTGCCACCATAACCAACCAATTCGAAGAACTCAAAACAGGCTACCACCACATTTGCTAATTAAAAAAAACTATAACGGTAATGAACTACCATCCAAATCAATTTCTTACATACCCACATTCAAAGGAACACATCAAGTCTGTCAAATGGACACAGTAATGAAGAGACGAGTCTAACATTGAGAAGCAGCAGTCAAATTACGAATATGGCTAAAACTGTAAAATAATTATACAAATCCTCCATCTTAAACACAAACCATAAAAATAACTCCAATTTAGATTCTACGGAACACCACCCACGCCAATTTAATCAAATTCAACTGAACTATTGAATAGGATAACCAAATCTAATTTAATCAAATTCAAAGTGTGAAGATACTCAATCAATCCACACCAAATAGTGCAAAACTCCAAATTCATATCATCAAAAACATGTAAATGAAATTAAAAGGAGATAGGAAAGAATTGAACCTCAAATTGCCTTCAGTTAATAAAAATTCCAGCAATTACACGGATGGAAACAAACCACAACCACGATCGGAACTCAGCTCGGACAGGACTCTCGAACACGACCTTGACAGAATCCTCGAATCGGTACAAGAAATGTTGAATCCATACACGACATCAAATGACCTTCATTCTGGAACGAGAATCAGAGGACAGCACCTCTGAATTTTGAGACGGATGTCCGAAAAATGGAAGAAGAAAACCAGAATATTTTTCGTTTTTGTATGAGTGACTGAATCGCGGTTGTGTTTTGGGGTTTCTGGCCAGATCCGTTGCTAGTGGCGTCGCCACTCGCCGGTGGTCAATTCAGGCGAAGCAACAGCTCAAGTGAGGAAGCTGAAGTGTGAGCGGCTAGCTTTTCTCTTGGGGTTGGTCGTTCATGGCGGAACTGGTGAACGCCGGTTGCTGCTGGCTTTGTTTTAGAGAGAAAGGTCGTTGGGGTGAGGTCTCAAGCTGCTAAAAATGGTGAAGCAGCAGGGGTCATTCGGGGTGAATCCAAGAAGATGATACGTGGGGGGTGGGGTTCTCTGATGTAAGGCTACGCTGATTTTTGTACTGTGGCTTTTTTTAGCCCTTTTTCAGATGCCTCTCTCTTATTTTTTGTATCCTCTCCTTTGAGATTTTTAAGCATTACTTTATATGTAGAGTCTAGGTTTAGGTGTATTTTTGTGCATTTTGTCAATTAGTCCCTAAGTCTTTTTGTGTTAAGTTCTTAAGGTCTTTTTTTGTTTATTTTTGTTCCAAAGAAGAGTCTAGAAGGGTTCCTAGGCTTAATGGACTAATCCGAATTGGGCCAAGAATTGGGCTCTAAAACTCTTAAAATTGTGATCCAACACCTTAAATGACTCCTTTTAAAAATAAGATAAAAATATTACACAATCCAAAAGCTAACATGAAATTATTATATATTTTTTGTATTTTTAAGATTATGTAAAGATAAAAATAAGGTACTATTTTTGTATATTTTTTTATTTAAATTTATGAAAGATACGTAAGTTAAAATATATTTTTTTTGTAATTTTTCATTTTTTATGGCAAAAATAAAGTAAAGAAGTTAAAAATAGTTGAAATAACTATATTAGGCCTAAATTAAATGTTTACGTACTAAAATATGAAAAATATTAGGGAGGGTCAAAAATCACATGTCTACAGTTGCAACAGTCTATGGCTGGTTGCTATAAGGGTTAGAGTTAATCCTTAGGTTTGCAAGAGTTTGTAAACTTTGTTGCTGGCTCAGAGTTGTAGTGAAGTATTTGGAGAAAATCCTTTGTTGTAGTAGGTCGTGGTTTTTTCATCTTTTGAGCTGGTGTTTTTCACGTAAAAATACTTGTGTTCTTTACTTTCTACATTTATTATTCTGCAACTATAGTGTAAGAAACATTGTCACGACCCGAAATTCCCACCCTCCGGACCGTGATGACGCTTAATATTTCACTTTCCAAGCAAGCCAAGGTTAGATTAGTTTTAAGCCATTTTTTAATCAAATTAAATTAACTGATGCCAATTAAACTGAAATAACTGTAATAGCACTGAAATAAAGTGTGGAAAGCAAAACAACTGAAATATCCAAATACAACCCCGAATCTGGTGTCACAAGTGCACGAGCTACTAGAATAATACAGATAAAGGTTTGAATGAAAGTAAAGTTGTCTAAAAGGAAATACACAACTAAGATAAAGTAGAAGGGGAATTTAGGGTTGCGAACGCCGAGCAGTTGTACCTCAAGTCTCCGTACTGATAGTCAACTTGAGAAATCTACTGATCACCGCTGGGACCGACTCCAAAATCTGCACAAGAAGTGCAGAGTGTAGTATGAGTGCAACCAATCCCATGTACTCTATAAATGCCGAACCTAACCTCGACGAAGTAGTAACGAGGAGAATGTGGGTCACTTTACAATAACTTGTACGCAGTATATAAAAATTTGGGGTGTGCATTCGAATTGGTTTATCGATAAATCAAATCGATTATTTCTTATCATTTTATCGATTTCGATTTCGAAATTTTCCTTATCGATTTCGATTTTCTCCTCTTCGGTTATCGGTTTATCGATAAACCAATAAGATATACTAAAAAGACAAATATACCCTTATTCTATAATACTACCCTTTCCTTCACTTAAGTCCATAACCGGCTAACCCTATTTTTTCCTCCCTTCTTCAGTCTTTAGTCTTCAGCGTTTTCTTTCGAAGTACAAACCTAGTTGTGTTTTATCGCCACTCGCCACTGTCAAACCGAGGTCTGTTCTGTCGGAAAGTTAGTCACTGTTGATTATCGCCGTTTCTGGTACTCCTAATTTCTTTCTTCAACTTTTTCTTTTCTCTTCTATTTGAAGGAATGCTTTCTGTGTAAATCTTTCTGTTTCGTTATTATTTGTAGTAAAGAGTCTAATCTGTTTCGTTATCTTTCGTTATCTGTTTTGTTTCATTATTCTGTTTCGTTATTATCTTTCGTTATCTGTTTCGTTATTTTTCTGTAGGAAAATCTTTCTGTGTAAATCTTTGCATTGTGAATGTCGTTTACCAACTTAATATAAACGTATTAATCACAAGGCAGTTAGTGTCTGGCTGTCTAGGCATTAGTCAGTAATTAGTTAGTCATATCTACTTATTGTAAATATATATATAATTTTAGGATTTTCCAACTGTGTATAACTCGAGCAAAACAACACAAGCTACAAGCCTACAACCGAGCTACATCAATTCCTATCCTCAAAAAATTCATTGCGACATTTAGTCGAGCAATATCAGGTAATACAGGGTAGTATTAACAGTTATATTAAAACAACAAATAGATGAAGGTATCATTCCCCATAATAACCACATGATTCAAGTCCTACCCCGAAAAAAAGATTAACACCAAATGCCAAAAATCGACGCAAAGCTCTGCTTTTCTTGGTTTTACACACACAAAAAAAATGAATCACACAATGTGAGTTTAAAAGGGACAATGTCTTGGTCAGGTTAATGAATCTGATAAAGAATCTAGCGTAGGGTGAGACAACTGTTAAAAGTAGTATGTATTTTTAAGCTGCCCTGAAGCTTTAGTTTGGAATGTATTCATGTATGTTGACTGCAAGTATGTGTAAATGAACTGAAGCTATTTTTTCCTAGTAATTTGATAAGGAACTTATTTAAATTGATTTCTTTCCAGCCATATTTTTTAGGTCAAGAGCGAGGAGTGCTGACTTCGTCTTGCTTTGCACTTTTGCTTCATTCAACTCGTTTAAGACTGCAAGTTACATTCTTCATTCACTTCATATGGCTGAAAATGATAAATTTGATCAAGTGGTTGATGAAAGTAGAGGTTCTGAGTCTACTGCTGCAGCTACTCACTCGACAGTTACAAAACAAAGGAAAAAACGATCTCGGGCATGAGATTTTTTGAAGAAAAAGTTGATGCTAAAGGAAATAATAAATATACATGTAGATTTTGTGGACAAGAATATTTTGAGACAAAAGTAAAAAGTACGACACAAATGAATAGTCATATCAGTAAATATCCAAGGAATCCTTATAAAATTGAAAAAGGTCAAAAACTATTACTATATCAAACAGTACCGGGGGTAATAAAGGTGATTTTATTCCATGGAAATTTGATCAAGAAGAGTGTAGGATGGCTTTGTGTCGTATGGTGATTGTTGATGAACTTCCATTTAGTTTTGTTGAGAAGGAAGACTTTAGAAACTTTATGAAAGTGGCACAACCATGTTTTCGTATTCCTTCCCGTACTACTGCTACACGGGATTATTTTGCTCTTTTTAATGTGAAAAGAAATAAATTAATGAAGTTTCTTAAAGGAACAAGTCAAAGAGTAAGTCTTACCACTGATACATGGACTTCTATTCAAAAAAATTAACTATATGTGCATCACAGCACATTGGATTGATAGTGAATGGATTATGCATAAAAGAATTATTAACTTTTATCCAATTACTAGTCATAAAGGTGAAGATATGGCAAGGTGTATTATTGATTATTTGCGTGAGTGGGGTTTGCAAAAGATTTTCACTCTCACAGTTGACAATGCTAGTTCAAATGATGTGACTGTGGAGAAGTTGTCTGACAAATTAGATGATTGGGGAACCAATTCCATAAATGGTCAACACCTTCACATGAGATGCATGGCTCATATTGTAAATCTTATTGTAAAAGATGGTTTAAAAGAGTCAGGTATTTCTATTGCTTGTGTTAGATGTGCAGTAAGATGCATTAGACAGTCTCCTACTAGGTTGAGGAAGTTTCAGGAATGTTGTGAAAGTGAAAATATTGTCAAGAAGTCTTTATGCTTAGATGTTCCTACAAGGTAGAATTCCACCTACTTGATGTTGAACAGGACTATTGAATATGAGCGTGCAATTAAAGAATATCCTGATCGTGATACCGGCTTGTCACGTTATCTTATGTTTGATGCTATTTCAGATGGAAAGCTTGTAGTTATGCTTACAAGAACTGATTGGGATGATGTAAAGAGAATTGCACAATTTCTTGAAATATTTTATAATCTCACTTTGAAGGTGTCCGGATCACTTTATGTAACATCCCATTTTCTTGAAATTGGTCAAGTTTCTGTTTACTTAAATCGATTAATAACAACTGAAGATGAACTTTTGAGTGAGATGGCATCAAGTATGTGGAAAATATTTGAGAAGTATTGGGGTGAACCAACAAAAATGAACAAATTGATTTTCATTGCTTGTGTTTTGGATCCTCGATACAATTTTACTACTGTTAGTTTTGTACTTAAGAAGATGTTCGGAGATGAAGGAAGAATTATTAAAAAAGAGGTTCATACCTATATGAGTTCATTGTTTAATGAGTATGTCTCTAAGTCGGTTTCAAAAGATACTGGTGGTAAAGTTTCTACCTCTTTGCCAAACTCTTCATTCAGCACAATGGAAACTTCAACTCCTGGTTTAGGTGAACTTTTAGATGAAATAAGGAAACATAAAGCCGCAAGTGGAGGTGTAGATTCTAAAACAAAATTGGAAAAGTATCTTGCAGAAGATCCTGAAAATGAAAGACTCGACTTTGATATCTTGGCTTGGTGGAAGATGAACTCACCTAGATTTCCTATTCTTGCTAAGATGGCTCGAGATGTGCTTGCTATTCCTATTTCAAGTGTGGCATCTGAAAGTGCATTTAGTACCGGAGGGCGTATTCTTGACCAATTTAGGAGTTCATTAACTCCTAAATTGGTTGAAACTCTAGTGTGCCTTCAAGATTGGCTTCGGAGTGAATCGCTTCCTGTAAATGTTGAGGAAGATTTAGATTTTCTTGAGACACTCGAGGAAGGTATGTATATTTTAATTAATTTTATTGTATTGCTTAAGATAGTTAAATAATATATTAATTGCTTGACTTGTTAATATATATTCTTATTAGATTTTACTAATCTTGGCAAAGAAGCTTCCACCGATGATGTTTGCTAGAGTTTGTTAGCTGCTATGTAAGTTCTCCATTTTAAATAATATACTTGTAAAAGAATGTGATGTATTACAAAGTTCTTAATATTTTTCTCTTTAATAACTTGAGGGTTGATTATTGATTTGCTGCCCATTTTCAGATGGACTCAATGGCTCTTCTACAGCTGCTTCC